TTTCCAGCATAGTATAAGGATATATCTGCCCTTGAAGTAGGCAAGCTAATGTGGTCAAGTATTTGGAGGATTTTTGAAGATGACTGAAGACTCATCCTAAAATACAGTATTTTGAACCTGAAAGAATCGGGAAATCCTTTTAGACATCAGAGATGCCCGCACCAATGAACGTACATGTTGTGTAAAGGAGTCAGTTGAAGGCGTGATTGACATTTAAAGAGTGAGCTGTGATTAATTTGCCAGATTGGCAACTCTAACCTGGAAGGGCTCTGTTAGAGGAAAACAGTAATATAAATAATTCTGGTACAAAATATACATGGAGCAGTGAGAGAAAGGAACTGTGGCCCAGCCAGTCAAATTAGCTTAATTAAAATAGTTCTGAAAATGCAGGGATGTGACAGACCTCACAGTCCAGCTCAGATCAGGACCTGGATGTTGTGATCAAACGTTAGGCAAGGCTTGATGAAAGTGCACAGAAGGGAGTGTCTGTACCTGTATGCTGAGCTGGCATTGCAAAGAGCAGGTTGGGGAGGGGTTGAGCATATCATGTAGGAAATTTTGGATTTGTCAACTCAGGATTTGTCAATGTCTGTGGAGCAGATTGCCCAGAGAAAAAAAGACATGTTGCCGATTTGGAGTATTGTTGCGGTTGTCTCCCTCAAAGAAAGTTGTTGGGATTTTTTTTTCACACTTTTGAATCTTCTGGAATGGAAGGTGGCTGTTGGGCTCTGTGAGAAAGTGAGCTGAATTCCTTTGCAGTTGGAAGGCGTGGCTTATCTGAGTGCCAAGTAGCATTTTGTCCCTTTGAGTCACTGAAATAAAGACAAAGGACTTCCTAGATCCCAAAGTCCACTCAATAGCAAAGGCTGGGAGGCCACAGGCCCACCCCACACATAAAGGACAGTTTTGACATTTGCTGCCAATCTCAGATCCTTAGAAGCACGAATGAGGAATACACCACTGAACAAGCTCCTTAACTCAATGTCTCCTTGGTTTTCTGCTCTCAGAGAAAGAACTTACAGATGGGATGTTTCTGACCTAGAAGGACGTTCAGTTACCGAGTCTCTGAGTTGTAAAAGGAATAGATTCAGTTATCCTTTGGAGACAAGGGCATGACTCTAGCTTCATTAGAACTTTCTCTTGTGAAGAAATACATCTCTCAGGTGGAGTAGGATTGCAATTTGTACTAGAATACAGAAAATGAGAGTGTCTGAGGAAGAAAAGAAAAAAAAAAGGAAAAAAAAATCTGTATGTAGGAGTTGGTGCTATGGTTAATCTACCATCTGCAGGGCTGGAATCCCACATGGGCGCTGGTTCGAGTCCCGGCTGCTCTACTTCTGATCCAGCTCCCTGAGTATACACCTGGGAAAGCAGTGGGAGAAGGCCAAAGTGGGCCCCTGCACTTATACAGGAGACCTGAAAACCCCTGGCTCCTGGCTTCAGGATCTCCTGGTGAGCCCCTGGCCCTTGTGCTGTCATCTGGAGAATAAACTAGCAGATGGAAGATCTCTCGTTCTCTCTGTAATTCTGCCTTTCAAGCAAATAAACATTTTTTTTTTTTTAATGTAGGACCAATAAAGTGAGAAAAGAAAGAAAAAAGAAATGCAGCCCAGCTCAGTTATGGACTAGGGATATTTACAAATCAGAGATGCTGACAAGAAAGGACAGAAAAGATCACCGAAGCTCAGCAGTCCTAGGCTGAGTGGTAGTGATGGACAGGTGATTGCAGAGGGGTGGGAGGAGGGAAGCAGAGAGCAGCCAACCAACAGGCCTAGGCTGCGCTTCAATGGCAAGGGTTTGAAGGCACCCCCTTCCTTAGCCATCCCTCTGGAGTCATTAATGTGAGCTTTCAGGGAGACACAGCCCCCAAACCTTGGAGCTGCTTCCTGTCATCCTTTCTTACGTCAGTGAACCACGTGCATCACCTACCCTCGCCATCCTGGAATGCTCAGGCAGATACTCCACTGAGTTGAGTCATGCTTGGGAGCTGACTCCGGTGTGTGCTTTAGTGCGGAAACTAGTTAAGGCTTCATGCTCCAGGAAATCTGTTTGGATTAGTTTTAGTTTTATAAAAGGATCAACCTATTTTTAGGGCTTGGCACAAGAAAACAACTCTGCAGCCACATAGGTTTTAATGACCATGGTTCATACTTACAAAAAAATTATGTGCAGGTAGGAACAATTTATGTCACTCAGAAGGATAGCTACTCCTTAAAGCTTCCCAGAGGGAACATGTTTTCTTACTTATTATTTAGAAATGATTTATTGGGCCCTGTGCAATGGCTCAATTGATTGATTCTCCCCCTGTATGCACCAGGATCCCATAAGGGTGAAGGTTTGTGTCCTGGCTGCTTCACTTCCTATCGAACTCCCTACTCATGGCGTAAGAAAGCAGCTGAGGATAGCCCAAGTCGTTGGGACTCTGTACCCACTTGGGAGACCTGGAAGAAGCTCCTGGTTCCTGGTTTTAGATCAGCCCAGCTCTAGCTAATGCAGCCATTTGGGAGACTTAATTAATTATTGGAAGATCTCTCTCTCTCTCTGTATCTCTCCTTTCTGTAACTTTTTCAAATAAAAATAAATAAATCTTTTTTTAAAAAGCTTATTCATTTCCATTTACTTGAAAGTCAGAGTGACAGAGAAAGATCTTCCATAGGCTGGTTCACTTTCCAAATGCCCGCAGCAGGTAGAGCCTGAAGCCAGGAGCCAGGAGCCAGGAATTCAGTGTGGGTGACAAGAATCCAAGTACCTGAGCTATGATGTTATCTACTGCCCCCCTGAATGAGAAGTGGAGATGCAATCTGATCCCATCACATGTGGGCATCCCGAGCCATGACCTAACCCTCTGTACCACCACATCTGTCCCTGGCATTTGTTTAGGTTCATTGCTAGCCCTGGATTATCAGGATCCTGTTTAGTCACTGGATTCTCAAATTACACAACCTACCTCTGCTGTAGGAGTGGTTTCATTGATAAATAAGCCATTTTGATTAATAGGTAAGAACGAAGCTTTTTGTAATCTCTTCAGTTTCAGGCATGTGCCTCCTTTAAAAGAAAAATAATAAAGAACAAAAACAAAACACCTTACTGTTATTCTTTCGCAGCATCTCATGGCGACCTCTCCATGCTGTAGGAAACACATCTAATGTTTGTACGTGGAGACACTGTGGAAGGCAATCCAAGGAGCACTTCTCAAAATGTGAAGTGGAGATGGAGGGGCCAGTTTTGACTCAAAGCCAGATCTGTCTACAGCATAGAAAATAAATATAAAACCCCAATCTGTTAGTGATCTCAGTAGAAAGCTGGGAAGATGTGAGGGAGAAAGGAAAATGGCAGGGACGGGGAAGCACTTAAAATGTAGCTGGGATAAATATAGATGGATGGAAAATGATTGTAAGTGAAGCTGCTCAGGAATGCCTTGATGACTGTGAGCAGGAGGGACATGACCCTGAGCAGCTGTTGAATGGGGAGCGCATGCCTGGCGCTCAGATTCTGCTTGTTGACATGAAAGCTCTTGGGGAGAAGGGTGCAATCGCGTCACCTGCAGAAGCCAATCATCCCACTGTCTGGGGCAGGGCTTAAGGATTAAATGCGCCAAAAGTGCCCAGTCACATTCAGCTATTCTTGATCAGGGAAATACCATTGCAGGGACGCGTTGCAGAACACCATGAGGACAAGTGATAGCACATTCTCTGTGTGTGTTATCATTTACGACTGCCCTCCAAAGGTGTTAATTTAGGATGACACATTTGCTTTCCAAACTGATTTTCCTCCCTTCTTCCCTCCCCTCTTCTAAAGATTTATTCATTTGAAAAACAGAGTGATAGAGGGAAAGACAAAGACATCTTCCACCTGCTGGTCCACTCCTCAAATGGACATCCAAATCTGGGCCAGTCTGAAGCTAGGATCCAGGAACTTCATGTAGGTCTTCTACCAATCTCTTGGGTCATTATCTGCCACTTCCCATCAGTAGGAAGCTGGATGAGGAGCCAGGAATCCAATGGTCATTCCCACGCAGGATGGTGACATGACGAGCATTGGATTAATCCACTGTGCTGCAACGCCTGCCCCTCTGCTCCAGGTTTTTAAGGGAGGTGTGAGAATTGACCAGCTCACAACAACAGAGAGTAAGGAACTCCGTTCCCCAAGAAATCCAGGGATCCCAAGCACCTTTCTTACACGGACTTTAATGGACCCTTGTCATGAAGTTGTGGAAATAATTATTTTTCAAGAGAATGTTATTGTTATCCCAAACTATATTCTACTGGTTAGTTTAGTAAAATGATGAAATGTCATTAGACTAATCTTAACGTGAAATACTTATTTATTGGTGTGTGGCGTCTGTAGTTTAAAAGGCCAAATATGGTGCGAACATAGAGAGCGTGAGGCTTTCAATGTAGAGAACTAGTTCAGTTTAGATGAACATGAGATACATGGAGGTCTGTCAGTTCACCTCGATGACACACATTCATTCTGGATCTCTGCTGTTGTCCTTATCTCACTCTTCCTTAGTCTCACAGAATCACTCCATGAAGTAGAATTACTACCAACAGATCCAAACACTAGCAGTTAGAAATGATGATTCTGGACAAGTTGTTGAGAGTTAGTGTATTAGTTGATAGTAATTAATTTGGTTCCTTACTTTGCTAACTTAGAACACTCAAAACAACTTTCAAACAAACCTGTACTCAAATATCCACCTCTCCCGTGACCCTTAAAAAAGCTCTGTCCTCGGTGAAAATCCTCCCAAACGAACCTGCCGTCCCCACTGCTACTGTTCTGAGGGGTTCAGGTGCCTAGAATTTGCCCTTAATTGACTAGGTCCCACAATTGGTAACTCTGGAAGTGACAGGCAGCCTCAAGTGTGGTTCTCCCGCCCTTCGATTGGGCAGGGCAGGAAGCCCCGCCTCATCAACTCAGGCAGGGGCGGCGGTTGGCCTGGCGCCGGTGAGTGGCAGGTCTTAGCTCCGCCCCGCCCGTCCCCTGCGCTGCTTGGGTCGGCGCCGTTTCCAGTTGAGAGATGGCGGCCGCCGCAGGTAGATCGCTCCTGCTGCTGCTCTCCTCCCGGGGCGGCGGCGGGGGCGCCGGCGGCTGCGGGGCACTGACTGCCGGCTGCTTCCCCGGGCTGAGCGTCAGCCGCCACCGGCAGCAGCAGCACCACCGGACGGTGAGCGAGCGCGCCCGGCGGCTCCGGGGAGGGCGGGGCGGCGCCGGCGTGTGGGAGCCGCCGGCGGGCAGGCCGCCTGGGCAGCGGGCGAGTTATCTCAACTCGCGGGCGCTCCCGGGGACCCGGGCACCGGAGGAGCCGCCGTGCCCTTCAGGCGCCTGCGGCGGCGACCAGGAAGGGAGGGCAGACGGGAGGAAGCCCGGAGGAGGAGGAGGGGCGACGGCGGGGATGTTCCCGCAGGACCGGGGACACCACCAGGGCGGGGAAGGGACGGGACTTGAACATCTCCCCGACCCGCCTTCGGGGCTCGGTCCCTCCCTCCTCCTTTCTTAAGAGCTCTGCCTCAGTGCTGTCGGACGGAGCCCTGTGCAAGTTGTCCCTCTCCCTTCCTCCTGCGGGCGCGTTGGGCTGTCCCGAGTTACCACGGCTTGCCCGGGTTCTCTGTCAGGAGTGTGGCACTGCCATGCTGCCGGGAACTGTCCCCAGGACCCCGGCTGGGCCGCTCCCTCATCCTCTGTCGGCCCTCTGCGGAGGGAACAGCGAGCAGGAAAATCAAACTTTATCCCCCACCGTGACTTGTGCATGTGCTGGTGTGGGGAAGCCGCTTCCTGGAGCCGGTTGCTGCATTGCCTCACGAGGCAGGCTCCGTCCCCCTTGGGCCCTTTGGAGGTGCTGGGGTGTGAGGTGGTGGTGGTCCTTGCGGAGCTCTGGCCGGGGAGCTGGCTTGGCGGGCCTGCCCAGCAGGCTGGATGGACAGTGGCCACAGAAGAAGGGAACCTGGACAAGTTGTTCCCAGAAGCAAGAGAGATTGGGTGGTTGTTATTAACCGGTTGTTGCTCGGTTTCATTGGGTGCCAGTGAGAGAGAGTTTCTGTTTGAGCAGCCTTGGGATGTGTGGGGTGTGTGAAAGAGAGAGAATGAATCTTCTTTTTTTCCAATTGCAAGACATCAACTTGGCATGGAGTTCTCCTAACCAGTCAGCAGGTTCCTTGCCTTGGACTTTCTGGACCCATATGGATTGGTCTCTGGCCAACTCAGGGAGTGTAGGTTTTATTTCTCTGGGTTGAGTTGTGTCGTGTGGTACTAAGAGGATCACTGCAAATAGCCTGCTGGGAGCAACTGGTACCTTCAGCCCCACTCATACACACACACACATCACCTGTTCCCGTTACAGTCACATCCATAGCTCCCAGGAACCGGGACTGGAAGTGTTCCAAGCGGAGACCCTGAGCAGCGTGTGATGGAGGTGTGATGGAGTGGAATCAAGGGTGTGCAGCAGCTAGGAGAGCGGGTGTTCTGCCCCTGCAGGCTGCTGCTGCCGCCATGTGTGGTAGTGGTGGGCCCTGGCCTTGTTCTTGTGAGGCACTCATCCCTGTTCCTGTGTGGCCCACTGGTCTGTGGCTCTCCCTGGAGTTTCTGGGGGGGGGCGTGTATTGCTCTGCACCTCTGGGTACATTTGCATGTTTGAGCCTCCTGTTAGGTGTTTGATTCTGCTCAAAATATAAGGCCACCCCTGAATTCTGAAAGCATGCCTCCTCCCTCTCCACAAGCACACCCCAACTGCTCAATAGTCTTGATTTCCATCTTGGAGAAGAGAGCCTCTGCCCCTGCAGTGTTTGCTGTTGAGCTGTCGGGGTGTGGTATTGGGGTCGCGTTTGAGCACCGTGTTTTGCTCTCAGGGAACCTGGAGGCTGTCAGCGTTTGGCTGTGAGGAGGTACTTCACAGCAGTGCTCTGTGCTATTCTGGGGTGGGGAGCAGGGATGTGGTGCGTTTGTGACTGAAAGCACAATTGCCATGAAGTGTTGTCATGGGAATGGTGATTTGTAAATGAACTTGGCATTGTGAAATTTCGAAAGAAGTTGAACTGATGATTTAAACTGTGGAAACACAGTTCTGATTTTCTTGGATTGCTTCGTAGCCAGTTGTAGCCAGTCGTAGCCCTCTGTCTACAGCTGTGTGTCTCCACCTGCTGTCTTGGGGACATTGGGTTGGAAAGGTATCTCTTTAGGGTTGTTCTTGTGAGTGTCACAGACAGTGGGATGGAAAGGTATCTCTTTAGGGTTGTTTGCTCTTTTGATATCTTGTGACTACCACTGAGGCCCAGAAAGAGGTGCCAACTGGCCACGATTATTTCGATAACATGTAGCAGTTTTAGAGCTCTCATTCACCCTACATAGTATTAATCCCTCCCCACGTCCTCCTTTTTATAGAGTGCATCTGCTGTTTTCTGTTTCTCCCTTGCATCTGTTAGGAAAGTCGGGTGTTTCTGAGCCCCAGGAATGGGGATTCTCCTGGAAGCAGTGATGTGCTAGGTGGACGTGGGGACCAACGCTTGACCGGAGGAATGGATGTGCTGGTAAAGGTCCCCAGGGGACGCTCAGGTTGAGTCTTGTCCAGGAGATATCCTGGGTCTGTGCAGCAGATGGCAGTCTGCACTGGGCAGGATCACAAGTCCAGCTTGTGCCACCTTTGTTCTGCTGTAGTAGGTATGGCCAGTTAGAGCCAGGGGGACATAAATAATTACAGTGCTGCTTAGCTGAGTGTTTTGCTCTAGAGGCATGGTTTTGGAAATTCATCTTTCCATGTTTGGAACAGGATTCCAAAGAAATATGACACTTCAGCCAGTTGGTAAATGCCATTGTGAAGTTATAAACCCAGCTCACTCCCTGCCCCCTTCAGATGGTATTCAGGTAGTAAAGAACAGCAGAGGTGTGGGGACGTGCTTCGTGTTTTCTTTACCGACTGATGCTATTTTTTCCTTCCCATGTGAAGAGCCAATGTTAGGGCTGCCCACCTTGTGGCCGTCATGAAGACTGATGTAAGGTGTTTGTTGAATGACTTTCTGTGTGGTATGTGGAAGTGGCTGCTGTTTTCAAGGGTGCTTTCTGAAGGGGAGTTGCCATTCACTGTAGGATGTGTAATTCCTTTGCTAACTCAAACTGTCTCATCTCCGGTTATGACAGAAGGACTGTTGGCGTTTCTTGGTGCTCAGCGGCACCGCTGCGCTAACCAGATCTGTTTCTCAAGCCTGTCACTGTGCTGCTGGGCTGGGGCTATGCGTCTTTATGCTCTGTGGCAGTGATGTATCAGTGCTATCCTGAAGTTTTTGCAGAAGTTAACATTGTCTGGCACAGAGGCAAGTCCTCATTCTTTGAGTTCTTGTGTTCTGGTCCAGTCTTGTCTTGACAGATCCAGTCCTGCACAAATACTCCCCTATACCCAAGCCAGTCTCTGCACTGTCCCCAAGTGTCCCTTACATTCATACCAACCGATCTTGCGGTGTGGGGAGTTGAAATTTGGCCTCATCCAGTCACTCCACTGAGCGCTGAGGGTCACTTCAGGCTGGGGACTTGGTCCTGTAGTTGCTTACCAACCTACCACCTTCCACCTTACCAATGAGGAAACTCAACCAGTGGAAACGAGGGAAGTGGCTTGTTGGGTTATGCTTGTGGTTAATAACGACATATTAAAAATCCTTCATAGAGAGGTAGATTGAGAAAGGTCCTGGTCTGAATCTTAATGTGTGTAATTCCTGGCTGTTAATTCCTTTCTGCTTTTTTCCATTTATTTCTTTAACATTTTTATTTTTTCATGATATGGTTCCAGAGACTCAGTTTTTTCTCTGTTTTTTTTTTTCTGTTGTGTCCTCTCTGAATTCTGATACAGTGATTATCTTCAGAACAGAGGTTGATATTCACTTAGTTGACCTTTGACTGGTTCTTTGTGAGTGTCTTATTTTACAGGTGAGATAAGACAAGCGTGCATATGTTACTTGCTGCCCCCCTCTGTCTTGTTTTGTAGTCTGTTGCTTAGGTTTGGGTAATTGTTTTAAGTCTGGTATTACTCATGCTGCCTTTAGTTGTGTATTATACTTTATTTTTTAATTAAAAAATTTTTTTAAAAAGAGCATTTATATTTATTTGTTTCTACTTATTTATTTACTTTTAATTATTTTTATTGAAAAGTTAAATATACAGAGGAGAGGAAATGCAGAGAGGAAGATCTTCTGTCTGCTGATTCACTCCCCAAGCCACCACAACGAACAGAGCTATGCCAATCCAATACCGGGAGCCAGGAGCTTCTTCCAGGTCTCCCACACGGGTGCAGGATCCCAAGGCTTTGGGCCTGTCCTCGACTGCTTTCCCAGGCCACAAGCAGGGAGCTGGATGGGAAGCGTGGCCGCCAAGATTAGAACTGGCGCCCATATGAGATCTGGGTGTGCTAGGCAAAGACTTTAGCCGCTAGACTACCGTGCCGGGCCCAAAGAGTATTTATTTTTATCGGAAAGGTGGATTTATAGAGAGAAGGAGAGAAAGATTTTCCATCTGCTGGTAAACTCCCCAAGTGGCTGCAATGGCCAGAGCCGAGCCTGGCCAAAGCCAGGAGCCAGTTCTTCTTCCAGTCTCCCAGGTGAGTGCTGAGTTCCAAGGCTTTGGGCCATCCTCTGCTGCTTTCCCAGGCCACAAGCAAGGAGCTGAATGGGAAATAGAGTAGCTGTGACATGAACTGGTGCCCATATGGGACCTCTGGCATGCAAGGTGAGGATTTTAGCCACTAGCTACTGTGCTGCCCTTGCCCCCATTTTTTTTTTTTAAAGATCATTTACTTGTTTGAAAGTTTCTCTTTTGTGTGTCAGACACACACACACACACACACACACACACACACACACACACACACACACATCAATCTTCCATTTGCTTGTTTACTCTGCACATTGCTGCAACAGTCAGTGCTTAACTGGGCTGAAGCCAGGAACTTCGTTTGGGTCTCTCACATGGGTGGCAAGGACCCTAACATGTGGGCCATATTGCAGTGCATTTCAAGTGCATTGCATTTCAGTGGAGAGCTAACTGGGAAATGGAGCAACCAGGGAGGGATGTCCCATCCCTACAGGATGCTGGTGTTGCATGTGGCAGTTTTGCCCACTGTGCTGCAGTATTGGGCCCAATATATTATATTTTTTAATGTTGGATTAAGTCTTCAGTGGTCATTAGGCT